TCGATCATTACTATTACATCAATAACTGCTTATAGCCCTTGTCAATGAAATAAAAAAAGTAAATACCATTTTCTAGTACACATGCAATTAAAATTCATCACAATAATGCGAAACTACATATCTATAAAGATGTTTATACGTATCTAAAATCAGAAGGTATCACAATAATATCACATTCAACAAATTTTCCGAACCTTACATCATGTGGTTTTTGGTTATTCGACATAATCAAACAAAATCTAACAGATCAAAGCGACTCAGAATCGTTGCATCGTCAAGTAACCAAGATAATGGATTCATTCAATAAAGATTATTGTAAAAACTACTTTTGATAAATTGATTGAATGGATGGAATCGTGTGTAGATAACCAGGGCAACTACTGCGAACATTTGATGAAATAAACACTTGAGTAACTTGTTTCTGAAATTTTTTTTTTAAAAAGATCACTACTTTTCAGTGTGGGTGACTGTGAGTAGGGATGTGGATGTGTCAGTATGGGTGTGTAAGGTGAGTGTAAGTATAGGAATAGGTGTGCGTAAAGATGTGGTTGTGGGTGTAGGCGAAATCAATAGCTACATACACACGCACACGAACACACGATTCTATTACAAAAAACAGCGGTAGACTCGCACCAAATTATTCTTAAATAGACTCAATCATGAATAAGAATGATTTTTTTGCATGTATTTTATTTCATAAGTCACCACTGACAAGTCATTTACGGATGAATTGAGAAATACTTTTGAAATTTCTCATGAATAAAAGTATGAAACTAAAAAGCCTGGCATAGTTACCACTTACATGAAATCCGACAAAATACATCAACCTTGTCATTTTACAGACGACTTACTTGTAGCACGTTTATTAAATAAATTGAGACAATGGTTGATTTCCTCCTCAAATGAACAATTACTATATCGTGCGTAACGGAGGAGAAAAGTCATTGATGTATGATATATATATAAACTTTTGATCGATAATGTACTGATGTTGTTAGCGAGAAAGAGAGCATCTACAAATATTGAATAAATACTAGAAATTCTTCAGTAACTATAAGAATTTATCATAATAAAGGTAATCAACAATATCTCATGTTGTGCAATGATTGAGAGCACCCAAGAAAATCTGCATCTTTTAAATACATATATTATAATTGAATTTAGGCCAAGCCTGCATCGGATAGCTCACAAAAAAAATTCCGAATATTTATAGTATTTTAGAAAAATAGCTACTGCTAAGAATATCCCAACATAGAAGAATTGAAGCGAAAAAGCGATCTTTCTGTTTATAAAAGCTGAATCTGAATTTTTCGCTATAGTCCAGTAATTGAAAGTTCTGTTATTTCTAATCGATGTAGTAGGGAATCGTCGCACTCCATTACACTTCAAAAATTCGAATTAAACTTTCAAAAAAAAAACATTTTTCTTGAAGTTAAAGTGTTTTGCATATTTCAAAAATATATTTAACTTTGTCTTCCCAGTGTTTCAACTAAAAACTGTTGTCACTCTAACTTTAATTAACAAAGCTGCTCACGCTGGCAACATTTGTTTTCCAATACTGCTGTTCACAAGGTAAAAGATAATACCAAGCGATAAAGTCAGGATGCAGAAATTGTTGAACTGACTATGCTGTAGTTCCTGCTACTTTGCCAAGCAAGAAGTTCAGTCTCATTTAAATTTCGTTGATGAGAATCTCTCTTAATTTCAGACTTGAGAAAGACGGCAACTAGCTTATGTAAATAATCACACCAATAGTTAATCCAGAATGTTGATGATAAGAAGAGAGGTTGTTCATCAAAGGTCATGTCTGCAGCTGATTTTCGCTCGATTCTACTATGAAAAAACAAGAACGGTTTTCGGAGAGACGGCGATCAGTCCTTCACCTTCTCTTCTACACTGGTCAGTGAAACAAGTTGAGAAGGCACTGCTTCGTCATCTATCGATTGCAAAAATCCTAGTTGGGCTCGGTTCGCTCTAACAGAAGAATTTTAGAATCGCCTTTACTTGAAATCTTAATTCGTTGGCTGTCTAAACACTATCAAAATAAAAATTGTCACCTAATGCTAATTGAAAAGTAGTATTTGATGTTATATCCTATTTACTCATTGCATGGGCTACAGCAACTTCAGATGGTGTATCAAATTGTGGAACTTCAAAAAGAAACAAAGACAATGTGAGAACCGAATAGAAGGATGTCATAAAAATACACAAACAAAAATAACTGCCAATCAACGAACTTTTTACGACAAAGATTCATCTCTATCGAAAAAGTGAAAGAAACAACAAAAAATTGAAAATTATATCCATTTTACTCTATAAAATCACTAATAGCAAAAGGATGCGTATTGTAACTGAAGAACATCGAATATATTCAGGTCCAATTACAGATCTCACCCTTAAATTAACAAATGGGTCAAATATGAACTGTTCATGACGTACACATGCAGAGATATTCGAATTTTAACCTCTGAACTGTTAAATTTTCTGAAACTAAATAGCAAACTTTTCGCAAAACAACCTTCGACACAAGAATATAATCGATATGAAACATCAGAACTGGTAGAGTGAGCTCCAGTTGGTGCAGGATGTTAGAGTCGATACATAGCATACAAAGAAAACAAGATCAAGTAATTACAGTCTTCATCTTTTCTATGAAGATTACTTTGACGAATATATTCGTCAATAACGGCTAAGGAGTTAATGTATTTACAATACGTGGAATGGGTTGACAATTCAAAACTTCAGAAATACAAGAACAAAAAGCTGAAAAGAAAAGTTCACGATACCGTTCTATTTAAATGTAGGCGGAAAGAGATCCGAAATTTTGACTTTCGTGAAACGTACTATTTCTTATGTAACTTGACGAGCTCTATCCAACCATGGAGAGAAGAGAAAAATAAATTTTACTAAAACTTTGAATTAATGACAAACTTCATAGACTGTAAATACCTTAGAATTCGAATATCTTAGTCCATACACATCTGCTAATTTGACGGTAAGATCTATAATTTGACTCGAATATACATCCTTCTATTCTTAGAAAACACCATCATCATCATCATTGCACTTCAACGTCTTAAAAGCGACTAAAATCAATCGATTATCTCTGAATCTTGCATCAATAAATTTGAACTTTTTTCACATGATATTCTGAGAAATAAACAATGCATGAAAAACAAAAAAAACTATTCCATACAATTCAATATTTTACTATGATGAATGGAATGTCAAATAGAAAATCACCAGTCGAATTTATCTCCTCTTCGTATGTGTCATATTTCGAAGAGAAATAAAAATATATAATAGAAAGTTAATTAAAAACGTGGTTTCATTGATGTTTGATATAATGTTTTTTCAGAACGATCAATAAACGAAAAGTTCATTTGTGTATTATCAACTTCAATTAAACCAAAACCACCAAATACAATTGAGCCAGCCCAAAAAAATTTAAGTGAATTTGGTGGTACATCTTGTTGGTGACTACGACTATTTTCTATAAAATTTGCAGCACCAACAACAAAATAATTCAAATGTGATTCATTCATATCATCAACTAAATGCTAAAAACAGAAAAAAAAGAAAACATATTTTGAAACATTAAAAAGAAAAATTTCTACTTGAAGATTATGATCATGTCCACAAAGATATGTTGTTGCTTGGTATTGATGAAGTAATGGTCGAAGACGATCAATAAGACATTTCGTTGGACCATGTTCTGCAACTGAATATATTGGATAATGACCACTGACAATTAAATATGGAGCACTAAAGAATATCAAATCAAAGTAATTCAATATATATTCATAAATAAAATAGTGCCTTACGTTGATTGACGAATTTGGTCTTCAATCCATTGCCAATAATCTTCGGCAACATATTGATTTTTCGGACCTTCTAATGGAGTATGTTCCCAATCTGACAAATTTCCACCTCCACAAAGTATAACAGTATCAATCATGACGAAATCAATTAATTTCTTTTGTTTATCACTTTGCCATAGAGAGAATGAATAGAAATAATCAGGAAATACCCTAAAATCCTCATTTTTTTTAATCGAAGAAAATTCTACATGATTTATTTACCATCGTTTTGATGTTTTACCATATTCAATTTGTGCTGAAACATTACCTAAATGATCATGATTACCAGCTACAACATACCATGGTGTTTGTAATGATGTTGCTGAGAATACATGTTCAAATGTATGCTAAAAGAATAAATAATAATGTAACCTTTTCGATAAAACTGTCTCTTACTTGAAATCTGGAATCTTTAGCTGATTGAACACCATCAAAGTAAAAATTATCTCCTAATGCCAATTGAAAACTTGTATTTAATTTTTTACCCAATTTACCCATTGTTTCAGCAACAGCAACTTCAGATGGAGTTTCATATGGTAAAAATGGTAGACCACCCCAATCACCAACAACAAAGAATCGCGTTATACCATCGTCGTTTTTATTTGCCAATAAATCGTATCGACCTGAATATTAAAAATATTCCTATAGAAGAAAATATCTTTCTAAGAAACCTACCAAAGTTAGTTGATGAGGATAGGGTTGATAATTGATAAAAAATTACGAGATAAAATAAAAATTTGAGGTGCATATTTTCGATGTTATCAACACATAAGATAAATGATACTGACATGAAAATAAAAATGAAATGAAAATATTTATATTCAAATAATATGAGTAAAGTAAACACACAAAAAATTCACCTGGAATAAAAAGAAATTCATTGTTAAATAATAAATTATAGTTGAAAAAAAATATAGAGACCACTCAGTTAAGATTAGTTTTTAATTGGTTTATTATTCCATATAATTTTACGAATGGATGGAGTAACATTTGCTTTAAAAAAAAAAAGTTGTTTTTTCTGCCAGTAGCGATATCTATAAATTACTTCAATTCTTCGAAAGTAGCGCTTGTTTAGAGTGGCTAAAACATTTACAAGAAATTTATTGAGTTGCTTCTGATTTTTGTTTTCAACAGTAAATAATGGATGATGTACAATGTTTTTGTGAATTAATTCCAAAAATAGAACTTCATGCACATTTAAATGGATGTATTCGTTCATCAACATTTCGTCAATTACTTTCATCACCTACGGATCAAACGCGTCTTGACACACTTGATAAGGAATTTTCTGTTGGTGATACACATGCAAGAATGGCAAATGTTTTTGAAAAATTTTCTTTACTTCGTTCATGTGTTACGAATTTAGATGATATTCGTCGTATAGCACGTGAAACATTAGAAGATTTTATTAGTGATAATGTTATATATGCTGAACTTCGTACACGTCCACGTTCATTTCATAATGGAAAAATTCCATCATCAAGTTATATTGAAGCTATTCTTGACATAATGAAAAAATATGAAGAAAAAATTTGTTCACGTTTAATATTAAGTATTGATAGAACACAAACATTAGAACAAGCTATGGAAACATTAAAATTAGCTGAAAACTATCGTACACATATTGTTGGTCTTGATTTTTCAGGTGATCCAAATATAAAATCATTTGAACGTTTTCGTCCAGTATTTGATTTAGCAAAACAAATCAATTTATCAACAACAATACATATTGGTGAATTACCTGATAAGGAATGTATAAATGAAAATAATCTAATTATTGATTATAAACCGACACGTCTTGGTCATTTTAATTTTCGTACAAATGATCAAGAACAACGTGTTTTAAAAGAACAAATTCCACTTGAATTATGTCCAACATCAAATTTATTAACAATGAATTTATTAGATTTAACTGAACATCATTTTGATTTATTTTATAAAAATAAACATCCATTAGCAATATGTACAGATGATAGTGGTCTAATGAATTGTAATTTATCATCAGAATTATTTCAAGTAGTACAAACATTTCATTTAACAAAAAAAGAACTATATGAATTTATTTTTCAAACATCTAACCTTATTTTTGATAAAAATATGATTGAATTTTGTCAAAAAAAGTTAAACATTTTTTCTCAACAGTCAAATTTATTTTAGATTATCAAGTTTTCTTTTTTTTTTTCTATAAGAATATGTGTTGATAACATTGAACAAAATCAATCGAATGAGTATTATTCGAATAAGTAATCGATTTTTGTCGATTTCGACAATAGGTACGACTTTATGAATATCGAGAAAAATTTTCTAAAATTGATGAATATCTATTTTATGTTCTAGGTCGAGCAACAGCTATTGCCATAAAACCACATCCTTATTATTATCATTATGGTAAACGTATATCATCGATTGATACGAATCGTTTACTATTATTATCATCAACACATATTCGTTCATTTCATTCATCATCGATACTTTTTCATGATAAATCTACAATAGAAAAAACAGTAGATTTATTAAAAGGTGGAGCTCTAGAAGAAAAAATAAAACCAGTATCAACAACACCAACGAAAACCACTGTTCCAGTCATTCCCCCGGAGACAACAGTTTCTACAATAAGTACACCACCAAGTGATTCATTGGTTGTTAAACGAAAATCACTTTGGCAACGTATTGTTCATGAATTAAAACATTATTATAATGGTTTTAAATTATTATTTATTGAAACAAAAATTGCATTTCGCCTTTTAAGACAAGTTTTAAATGGTTATACATTAACACGACGAGAACGAAAACAAGTAATATAATTATTAAAATAAAAACTTAGATTTCAACAAAAAAAATATTATTTTATTTTAGTTTACACGTACGGCTGCTGATTTATTTCGATTGGTACCATTTTCTGTTTTTATCATTGTTCCATTTATGGAATTTACATTACCAATATTTTTAAAACTTTTTCCAAATATGTTACCGAGTACATTTCAAGAAGCAGATAAAGAAGTAAACATTTATTTTTTTGAAAATATTTATTCAACATGATTATTTATTATTATTTTTTCGTTGTTTTTTATTCTAGCAAGAAAAAATAAAAAAACAATTAAAAGCAAAATTAGAAGTAGCTAAATTTTTACAAGATACACTTGAAGATACAGCATTAAAATCGAAAAAAAAACGTTCAGACGATGAATTAACAACACAATTTGCTGATTTTATGAAACAGGTATTATTTATTCAATAAATTGATATGACCCTATCCAATAAAATTCGCATTAAACATAATTTTTATTTGCATACTATCGAATATTCAAGTTATTAGTAATTCAAGTGTTGTATCAATAATTTAAGGAAATAATATTGAAGGTGTAAGGTGATTAGAAAAAAGTGTAACAACAACACAGGGATTTTTCTAGAACGTTAAGCAGTTAACTTAAATATAGATGAATTATGACGGCAAGACTAACTACTACAAAAACTGGACATGGTAGTTTTGTGGCTTCAGAAGCTATTTTTTAATAATGCTGTTTTAAAAAAAGCACACAACTAGGGATCGTCGCATTTTCTACAATCTGTCTTTAAAAACTTAAAAGCATCACAAAAATCAAATCAATGACTTTTTTTTTTGGAGATTTTTTGATACTTTTAACTTTTTTAAGGGAAGATTGCAGAAAATGTGGCAATTCCTGATTTCGTATTCTTATAGGTAACAAGATCATATCTTGTATTAACGATTCCTCGACGTAATATAACTCCTGTTACAATAGAATATAAAAATTCTACAGCATATGATATTGTCCGAGGATTTTGATTGAACATAAAAATAACAATTGTGCGTTGAGATAGTGATACATTAACTAGAAAAAAAAGACATTGTTGTTGTTATTCTATTATGTAAATCTTATCTAACGAGTGTGACAGAATAAATAACGGTCTCACGATTTTTCCCATATGTTTTTTTCTTTCGATGGAGTTGATGTTTTTCATAGAAGTATTGCAACTAACAATGGCAACTTTCTAAAAAATAGCTTTTTGTTTAAAGTTTCTCATATGATCTTTCAACTGTTTAACCATCTTGAATCTTGTTTTAATGCACACAAAATATCTGTAAAAATGAAACAATGTGTTGGAATTACGTTAAAATAAAACTCAAGCTGGTCAAACAGCTGAAATATGATGGGAGAAACTTAAAAGAAAAATATCCTTTTGAAAAGTTGCCATTGCTGACTTCAATATTTCGATCAATTGTTAGAAAATGAAAAACATTATACCCATCAAATGAAATATACCATTTTGTAGAGAATTGAATGAAGAATCCTTGACACAATGAAAATTCAAGTATAAAACTATTGTTATTTGCACGTGTGATAGGTTTAGCATTCACAGAAAAACACTCAACATTTTTTTATCAATAATTTTTAGAAAGTACACTCGAAAATAATCGACATTTTTTTATAAATCTATATATATATATATATATGATTTTGAAATAGGAAAATTTATTGTTTAATTTAGATGCGTTCAACTGGCCTTCAACCATCAACTGAAGAAATAATGAAATTTTCAACATTATTTGAAAATGAATTAACATTGGATAATCTTGATCGTCCACAATTAGTTGGTTTATGTAAACTTCTTGGTATATCAACAATTGGTCCTGATTATTTTCTTCGTTTTACACTTCATTTAAAATTACGTCATTTAGAAGCTGATGATAAATTAATTCAAGATGAAGGTATTGATAATCTTACTGTTGAAGAATTACAAGCAGCATGTCGTGAACGTGGTATGCGTTCACTTGGTGTTAGTATTGAACGTTTACGTTCACAATTACAACAATGGCTTGATCTTCATCTTAATAAACGTATACCATCAACTATTTTACTTTTATCACGTGCACTTTATTTACCAGAAAATATTCCACAAGAAGATATACTTAAAGCAGTTATTCAATCATTACCACCAGCAGTTGATAGTGTAACAGCTGTTAAAATAGCTGAAGTTAGAGGTGAACGTGTTGATAATACACAACGTATTGAAGCTATTAAACGTGAAGATGAAGCTATTAGAAAAGAAAAAGAAGACAAAGCTAAAGATAAACAATTATCTGAAGATGAAATAAAAAAGAAACAATTAGCTGAACAAGTTGTTGTACCAACAACACCATTAGATATTCCTAAAGCAGAAATTCTTGTTGATAAAGCACCTATACTTAGTGATCATAAAAAAGAAGATAAAAAAGATGATCAACAAATTGATGTTGGACCATTTGAAACAGCACTTGAACAACTTGTCCATAAAAAAGCACAAGAAGTTCAAACAACAGTTGAAGAAATTAAAGAACTTAAAGTAATTATTTTGATTTTCTTTTTCTTTCTGTGAAACACGATCTAAAAGGAACATTGAAGTATAGAAGTTAAGATTTGACTCTTCCCTGCAGGCCGTGACAGACTTAACTAGGCATGCACCCAAACTGTTTGCATCTTTTTTATCTGCATGAAGAAAAACACTCTTATTCTATTGAACCATAAGACATAAGATATTTTGCGTCAGTAAAAAATTGAAGTAGGAGAATGATACTGGAAAATATTAAAACAGGAATTTTGGCAATATAATTAGACTACGTGCTAGAGTCAATCAAAAAACTCAAATACAATGAGTTTGAATCGTTTTCCGTTTGATTGTTAAAGGCAGAAATCGTTTTATATTTGTGGTGCAATAGTTTATTGATATAGATTATAATCAATGAGATATGTTTGAGATATTGAAATTTTATTATTGGATATGGATGCATGCCTTGACTAGGATGTGGGTGTTACCAAAGAGAAGACTAATGCACTTACACCATATCATGATATTACCAGCAGAAGAAATATAACATTTTTAATCTGTCATGATTACAGAGTACACAGTGACCATGCTCTCAGACGCAGTAGTGAAGCCACAAAAATACTCAGTCTCCTGCCACCAGCGAGATTTGTGAAAGATGTATTTTTTTCTTCAAAAGTCTCGTTACGAGGCCACAGGGTTTGTAGGAAGACTACTCTTTTTCTCCCTAGTCCAAAATCCTGATTCTGCTACTGCTCACACGTCGATGTAAAATGAAAATAAGTGCTTGACATCTTGAGAAACATTTTTTATTTGCAGACAGCATCTGACCAGGACTAATATAATAGCATCTGCAAAGATTTGCTCGAAAAACTGAACTTGTGTTTACCAAATAGAAGCTGTGATGCTTTTAATTTGTATTTTATATCGATTTCTCTAGAGTGATCTTCTATTTCAGAGAGTTGTTTACTTCCTCATTGCGTTTCTAGAGGATTAAGTAGAACGATGATGAAGAAGCGTTCCTCAAAGAATAAAATAATTTTTCTATGATTAGTAACAGCTGCTATATCATGTTTCATATATTAATCCCAAAAGGACTATGCTAACGGCGCTTTTTTTTAACAAAAATTTATTTAATTTTTTTTTCTGTTACTTTATAGGATGATGTTAAAGACTACAAAGAAGATGTTAAAGCCCTTGAAACATTGGCTGCAACAAAACATGTTAAATATTTAAGTGAAACACGTTCTGCTAAAGCACTTTCGAAACGTATTGATAAACTTGTTGGTGATCTTGATCACATTGTTCACTCACTTGATAAAAAACAAGATTCGCTTAAACAAGATATCGAAGTTAGTTTATATGTTTGTTTGGTTGTTTTTTTTGTTCTAAAAATATGATTTCTATGAATTTAATTATATTTAGAGTGAAGAAGATAAATTAAAGGAAGTTACATTTAGAACGGATCAAATCCAAGAACATAAAGATTTTCTTACAGAAAAAAAGTTAATCTATCTGATTATTCTTCCTTCATATTTCATTGTTGTTGTTTTTTTTTATTTTCAGAGAGGTTCTTGTATCAACTCAAGAATTAGTTAATACTATTCGAGAACTTCAAAAAGTTTCAAATCAATCTACAGATGTTCACGTTCGGGATATAATTAATCAATTTGATCATAATAAAGATGGTTTCATTGAAGTTGATGAAATATTAAAAGTAAATTTATAGGTTTTTTTTTTTTGTTTGATTGGTGTTTTTTCTTTTGATCTCTTTTTTTTTAGGCACTTGAAATAATTGGCAATGAAAAAGTTAAAATATCGAAAAAACATTTAAAAGAAATAATTGATTTGGTACGAAAAGAGCACATTGTTGAAGAAAAAGAACGAAAAGAAGAAAAGGATGCGAAAGTTAAACAAGAAGCTCAATCGAAACCAACAACGGAAACTAAGAACATTTAAAATTCATTTATTTATATTCTTCAATCTAGCAAAATTCCTTGCTTTTTCTTTTAGTTTTGAAAAATAGAAGTCTTAAACTAGAATTTCTCTATTTTTTTTTTTCGAATAAATCACTTTCAAAAAAATCTTTTATTTATTTTATAGATGATTTTTAATGAAATAATTCGTGAACTTATTAAAAATATTCAATTAAATGTTTTTTATGAACATTTTACAAAAGATAATGAACAAATCGATTCTTATCTATTAAATTATTTAGAAACAGCTCGAAATATTTTAATTAATGATGAACAATTTCAAAAAACAAAATCTTATGTAAAAATTATTCTGGAATATTCATGGGAAAAATTAAATACAGGAATATGGCAAAATGTTAAAGATGTTTATAGATATTTATATGCTTATGCTTGTTATATTGATGTACTTGTTGATTGTAGAATATTGATACAAAATGATAAATATGATAATTATCAAGTAAATGTATTTCAAAAATTTAATTCTATTTAATATTTTCATTTTTTTTTTAGTAGGATATTATAAAAAAATGTGATTTGGGTATTTTACTTGGTGGACCAATACTCGAAAAACAATTCAATGATCTTATTTCAATAATCAATGAGAATTGTAAAAATATTCAAGATGAAGAATCTGTAAATTTATAATTTCTTTTCATTTGATTATGTTTTATTTTTTTTTTAATATACTTTTAGAATATTGATCTTCAGTCATCAAAACGAATTCGTCTTGATCATAATAATCAAAATGATGATTTCAATTGGATGCCAATACCAATTATTGATTTAACAAAAGCAATTGAACGTATTCATTGTCCATCTATCGAACAATTTCTTACATGTTATATGCAAACAAAAAAACCTGTTATACTCACTGGTTGTATGAATCATTGGCCAGCATTGTCTAAATGGAGGTAGAATCATCTCTTATGTATATACATATAATGTTTGTTCTTTTTTTTTTAAATATAGTTTTGATTATTTGATTAAGTTAGCTGGTGATCGTACAGTACCAATTGAACTAGGTAGTCGTTATTCAGATGATGACTGGACACAAAAATTAATGACAATAACAGATTTTGTCGAACAATATTGTCAACGGAGAGTAAGTTAAATATTTTCAATTATTGACACAATTTTGTGGAACTCACATCATGTTTTTCGAAGAAAAAAATAAACCACTCTCTCAAATAGAAGTCTGACGACTTCTCTAGTGTCCATACAAGTTCAGCTTTTTGAGCAAAGCTTCGCAGATGCTATTAAATCAGTCTTGACCAGACAACGTCTGCGTATAAAAAATATTTCTACAGACGTCAAATACTTGTAACTAAGAATAATCTCTAGAAATTGTTTTTATTTTTTCGTCGATGTTTGAGAACAATGGTCACTTTGTTTAGTAACAGGTATTTGAACATAATTATAAGTTAACAAATTCATATTTCTTCTGTTTCTAATATCATGATACGGTGTGTGTGAGTCTACGCTTCGGTAGTAGCCACACTCGAAGGAAGGGAGAAGAAAGACCAACGATCATTAGATACCTTTCCCTAGTAATCATGGACAACAGGCATTAGACTCCTTTTGCAACGGAAAGACAATGCTGAACGGTATTAACAATAGAAATTAGACTACTCTAGAACATTTCAAAACACTCCTCGAGATTTGAATGCCTGAAATACATTTATGAATGTTCTAAATTTTACAGCTTTTAATCTTTGTGCAAATAAAAATTTATACTAAAGATGTTGAGACTGGTAGATAGTGACGTATCGATATGCAACAGTCGTCATATGATCAATATAACAAGCATGAACTAATCAAGTTATAATTGGAAAATAATCAATATCAATATTTCTGAGCGTATCGCTATATATAATAGTGCGTTTGTCACTTAAATTAAGAAAAACGCAATATGAAAATGAAAAACAACAAGGCAAAGAAAAAAATTCTATATTTGAAATGCAGAAATGAATAAGGCAGATAGTTTTTTTGACGATCGATTTTATCCTTGAAAAATAACTATAGTCTGCTAGAGATTTTTCATTTTTACATATTTTGTATTAGTATAATAAATAGAGCTCATCGGCCCAAGAGTTTTTGGACTCGGATCCGACCGATCAAAATTTTTGATTTTGGACCTAATTAATTGATCTTTTGTGGGTAGAGCCCATCGGCTTCGGGTTCGGGTAGGATCCGATGGGCTCTAATAATAAGACTAAAGAACATATGTGAGTTCTACATTTTAGCTCAAAGAGGCTGTACTAACAAACTTTGTTTTTAATATATATTTCTAGTCTTCAAAATGTGGTTATTTAGCACAACATCCTTTGCTAGATCAGGTGATAAAAAAAAGAAACTTTAATGTGAAAATGTAACACATATATATATATATATATATATATTTTATAGATTCCGGATTTAAAAAAAGATATTTGTATACCAGATTATTGTTATATTAGTTCAGATGAAAATGAAGATGAAGAGGTTGATCTTAATGCGTATGATTGTTGTTTAAAATTTTTTTCTAAATATTTTTGCTTGTTTCTAGATGGATTGGTCCGAAACAAACCATATCACCATTACATAATGATCCAAAACAAAATCTTCTTGCTCAAGTAAAACAAAAAAAAAGAAAACATATTCATTAAAATCATTAAAATAATATTTTTGTAGGTTGTTGGAGAAAAATATGTTCGATTAATTGATCCTATTTATTCATCAAGATTATATGCACTTGGTTCAACTATGTTAAACAATACTAGTTCGGTAATAAAAATATTCCTTTTTTTGTTTTTGTTGATTATAAATCAGATTATTTTATCTATTTATTTTTGTCTTAGATTGATGTTGAACATCCTGATTATGATCGCTTTCCTCTTTCCAAAGATGTTCCATATCTTGAATGTATACTTCAGCCAGGCGAGATGCTCTATATGCCATCACGTCATTGGCATTATGTTCGTTCTCTTTCACCTAGTTTTTCTGTTAATTTTTGGTGGACATAAAAAATATAGAATCTTCAATTATTTTTTTTAATTTTCTTTTTTTTCTAGATGAATTTTACAGAATTATTTAAAGTAACATCATATCAATGTTTATTTTCACCTGATGGTCAATATTTAGCATGTGTTAATCAATATCGTTTAATAATACGTACATCAACAACATTAGAAATAATAAATTTATTTGCTTGTATTGATATAATAGATACAATTGAATGGTCATATGATTCACGTTTTATTTTAGCTGGTTTAATTAAACGTAATGCTATACAAATATTTTCATTAGATAATCCAGAATGGAAATGTAAAATTGATGAAGGTTCAGCTGGTCTTTGTCAAGTACATTGGGCACCAGATTCTCGACATATATTAACAACAGCACAATTTCATTTACGTATAACTGTTTGGTCATTAACATCAAAAAATATTTCATATATGAAATATCCAAAAAAAATTTCACCTAATTCTTATATATTTAATGTATCAAAATCATATATGGCATTAGTTGAACGTCGAAATGATAATACAGATCATATATCAATATTTAATTATTCAACAAATTGGTCAATGATTGCACATTTTCATGTTAAGGAATTAGAAGATCTTCAAGGTATTCAATGGTCACCAAATAATGATGTTTTATGTTTATGGGAAAATTATTATGAATATAAAATTATTTTTTATACACTTGATGGACAATTATTAAATATATATAAACCTGAAAATGATCATTTAGTATTAGGTGTACGTTGTGCACAATGGTCACCTACTGGACAAATTATGGTTGTTGGAGATTATGAAGAACATATAACTATATTTAGTTATTTAACTTATAAAAAAATTCGAGAATCTTTTCAACATCCACAAAGATTATCATCAAATAATGGTTATACAATTTTAAAAGAAGAAGAATATCATACTGATAGTGAAGAAATAAATGAGAAAAGGTATATAAGAAAACATATTCAAATCTAAATTTTGTAACTTATAGAATAGAATTTGTCTTAGTTTTAAATTAAACAAAAATATCGATTATTCTTCTACAATTTCGTTCAAAATCTCGGTTGAGATGAATTCTTTTAATAAAGTGTTTCCTCATTTTTCAGTCGATCGTAAAGGATCTTACAGAAATTTCAAAACTTTGATTAAAAATCACAATTTTGTGTTCTTTTGGAGTATGACTTGAAAATTTTGTTTTGAAGGCTTTTTGCTTTAAGAGTTATGAATCGACCTTCTCAACACCCGAAAATTGAATTTGAACAAGCTTCAGCGCGCTAAAACTTAAGCGAAAATTATTTCAAATACAAAGAATAAAAGAGCAAATGTTTCTCTATAAAATGGTATATAAATGATTAGTTTACTGAAAGTCATTTGTCAACAGTGAGTATTTGTTAAAGGATACCATGTCAATTTTAGGCAATTTCCTCAATTTCTATGGAAAACAAATCTGCAAAATGAGCTGAACTTGCTCTGAAACTCTTGATTCTTATATCACTTTATAGAGAATGATCTCTCTTTGAATGCTATGCAAAAAGAAATTTAAGTTTCACGTCTTCATACAACGTCAACGTATAACACCTAAACTAGAGAAATGTTAACCAAACATTCGGAACTAATACAAAATTGTGATGGAAACTCAATGTTTTTTAAATTTCTGCAATGACTGAAAAATGAATGTACATTTTGTTAAATTACTTTTCAATAATTCATCAGAACTTGTTTAATTTGTTAGTTATCTATTCATAATTCAAATAAGAAATCGAAGGACATCTAATATTTGAAAATAGAACGAGTTCTTCTCTCGATTCTCTATTAAATATATGATTGCTTCATTCAATATTTTCTTTTCTATTCTTTATATTTATGTAAATGATTCATTTTAATTATATATTTTAGTCAAAGTAAATCTTATTCATCTTCTACAAATTCATCATCTCTCTTATCAAATCATGAATCAAAATATATTATTTATAATGGTACACTTCAAATAGATCCAATAAAACCTAATTTTGATCGTGCTAATCCTCGATTAGGTGTATCATCTATTGAATTTTCAAGTTCAGGTCGATATATATCAACAATTAATGAAACAATGCCAAATATTTTATTTATATTTGATTTTAAATCAACATTTCATTTAGCTTTTGTACTTATACAAATTCAACCAATACGATGTATTAAATGGGAACCAAAACGTGATCATTTAGCATTATGTACACATAATAATTGTTTGTATATTTGGTCATCAAAAGGTGCTTCTTGTATTAGTTTACCTAGTGAATCATCTAAACATAAAATAGATGAAATAAAATGGAATAATTATAATTCTATACCAAGTATTGCATTGATTGGACAGAATACTATGTGTCTCGGTTTTGTTGATCTTAATAATGATATGTAATAAGTGTTCAGATAGATTATATACTTTTTTTTTGTGTTTGATAGATATTTATTTATTTATTTTCTAATATATAATTATTTTTTCTAGAAATGACAGAAAGTCAGATTTCAAAAGACGAAATGAATATAAGTGATGATGAATTAAAACAAGATTCTTCAAATGTAATGATAACAGGAGAAAATAGTAGTGAAGAAAATCTACATGAAGAAGAAGAAGAAGACCTTGATTTTTATGATTTTCTTGAAGCTGTTTCAGATAAAATTGATAATATTGAAAATCAAAGTAAAAAAAAAATACAAACAAAAATGAATTTATTTATTTAAAGATTTTTCTGTTTTCTATAGTTGAAGAACGACGAGAACATCCTCGACAACGTTTACGAAGGACTATAGCGGAACTTGAACAACAAAAAAGGATTCTTAAAGCTCAATTAGAACAACATATTCATATATGGTCTGAAAACTTTAAAAAACCAAATTTTATTCGAACACGAGATAAAATATCATTTTCAATTGGAGTTGCTAATGCTTGTTTTTCACCGTTGATTGGTATGAAGAACATTTGTTTTTTTTTTTGTATAATTTACCAATTACTTTTTTTTTAGCTGGACGTTGGCCTCATATATTACCTCTTGTTTATACTATTCAAGCTTTATTTCTAATAACACTTCGATTTTTTATTTATAAACGTAAAAGTTGGCATTATTTTGGTAAAATTTGAATAAATATTTTGTTGGATTTTAAATGTTTATTTATTTGTTTTTTTAGTATATGATTTATGTTATTTTGTTAATGTTTTAACATTACTTTATCTATGGATATTTCCATCATCAAAAATTCTTTTTACTGTTTGTTACACATTAAGTCATGGTCCATTAGGTTTTGCAATAGTTCTTTGGAGAAATTCACTTGTTTTTCATAGTAAGGGCTTTTTTAAATTTCATATAAATAAATTATAATTATATGTTTGTCAAAAAAACACATAGGTCTCGACAAAGTGACTAGTTTATTTATTCATATGTAAATTTATTCATTTAATATTTATTTAATCTTTTAATTTTATTTATAGGTATCCACCATTAACATTATTTACTCTTCGTTGGCTTTTACCTATTGATCTTCAACGTCAATATTATCCAGCTATTGTTGAAATAGGTTCATCTCTATATACGACAACAGCTGTATTTTATACAGTTGTTTTTTATTTAATATGGCAAGCATTATATTATGCATTTATTGTTTATGGACGTCGAGAAAAAGTTGCACGTGGTTTACGGGCTACATCTTATACATGGTTATTAGCTGATAAAGATGGTTTCGTTGCACGTCTTATACAAAAATTTGGTTTTGGTGGACCAAATGATGGTATTAATCGATATAAAATTGTTTTTTATTTCTTTTTACAATTTGGATATATGCTTCTATCGATTTTACCAGTATGTCTATGGTATTATCGAAATATGTAAGTGGAGCAAAAAAAAAAGTCTTTTTATTATTTTAAATTTGTTTGAAATACAGTAGTGAATAAAACTTTCATTACACCATGTTTCAGCTAACATATGTGCTGGGGATATAGAAATTTATGTGCGCATATTCCATCAAGAATGTAGGTTAGAGGCACAGACGTACCTCGATTATTTATGTGACAAAGAGAATTATGATGGATATTACTAAATCGCATCTATTGTTCTTTTGAACTTCATAACTCTGACAAGGAAGAACTTTGTGAATCAGTCGGTCCCTCCTTATGTAATGTTACGTTTCATCCATTCACGCTATTGATTTGATTGAAGTTCAACAATTCTTTCTAAAACTGTGGCTACTAGTCTGCAAAAAACCTATCTGCTGTCCATTGGAAACCATAACTCAGTGATAGTTCAATAAAGGAAGCTTTAGAAGTTTCATCAATAGTTAAGCATTATCATCTATAAGTCTCAGAAAAGAATTTTGTACTAATAAGAAGTATCATGTTGATGATTATCGTATTGATGTAGAGAGCTCAAAGATAGCAGTCTTCCAGCAAATGAATTTATCTTTTAGGTAAAGAATGATCATAGATGAGGCTCCAGTTGTATATTAAAATATCAAGAATTAATTATGTATTTGGTAAAAAATAATCTAAGCTTTAGTAGACAGCATTTTTCAGGTTAAAAATCTAGGAGTAAAAATTGATACAATTCATCATAATTCTCTTTGTACTTAAGCAATCGTAGTGCAGCTTTACCGTTGATCTACATTCGCGCTGAAGTATGTATGTAAAAGTTTTCAAGTCTTTAGTGTATATAATAGTTCAGATTCGGTGAGGTAGAGATTTTTGTTCACTATTGTATATGTATATCTATTGAATTTTTTTTTTTTGAGGTATATCAATGGAATATTTCTTTGTTCAATTTTTGCTGTTAGTGTTTATAATGGAGCTTCTTTTTATATTGGTAAGATTATTAAGAGATTTTTTTATCTGATATTATTTATATTGTTTAGATGTTTTCTCACGTCGATATATTAAAAGTCTTGAATTATTACATGATTGTGATGAAATGGAAACAACTAATGGCATTCCACGTCATTCTATCTCATCTTGTCCGTTACGAAAGTGTTCCCAAACAAATTTCAATAGCTCCGAAAATTGTTATGAATTCAACAACAAAAAAAGTTCTTAGATGTATAGAGATGTTATATATAATTGTATAACTATAGTTATTGCCTAATATGTGCTAGATTTTTTGATTTCTGTCCTTTATTTTATAATCAAAAGTAAAATTCATTTAATTCGAAAACATTTAAAAGAAAATATTATCTATAACAATCTTTGATTGAATATATCTGATCAAGAACATCATATAAGAACCAGAAAAAAAATTGCACTAATTTCGTCAAAAAACATCTCATCTAATATTGACTAATGAACTTTCATTTATTTAATGTTATAAATGATATAGGGCTTGTCAAAATTATAGACCCCCTCCCCTTTGTCATTGGATTTTTTCTATGAAAACGAGCTACTGAATCAAATGTAAGTAGTGATTTCTGTAGCACTCGAAGTTCTCTATAGATTGCAGTGTATTGGAAAATTTTAAAGATGACTTCACCAGTGGATTTTTTTGGAAATGCGCGAGACATCCTTTTTGACTTTTGAAACGGTTTATCAGACATCATTTTCAATGCATCCATCAGATAGAGCTGAAAATTCTGAGCAAAATGAGTGGTCGTACGACTCTCCACGACTTTCCAGTGAGAAATTATAAGTATGTCAAAAGTCGCAAAAATCATCAAAAATTGTGGAAAATCGACTAAAGACACGTTTTTTTTATTACTTTTGACATACTTATAATTTCTCACTGGAAAGTCGTGGAGAGTCGTGCGACCACTCATTTTGCTCAGAATTTTCAGCTCTATCAGATGGATACATTGAAAATGATGTCTGATAAACCGTTTCAAAAGTCAAAAAGGGTGTCTCACGCATTTTCGAAAAAATCTGCTGGCGAAGTCATCTTTAAAATTTTCCAATTACTGCAATCGATAGAGAACTTCGAGAGCTATCGAAATCACTACTTACATTTGATTCAGCAGCTCGTTTCCATAGAAAAAATCCAATGACAAAGGGGGTCTATAATTTTGACAAGCTCTGTATATAAAAGAATCTGTCGATTTCATACGTTTATATTTCCAACAAGAGACTTAAAAAATGTAAACAAAATTGTATACTATGAAACTTGCAATATGTTTGTAGAAACGTGTCCGCCGTTAGGTGTGATTTTTCAAGTGTTTTATTAAGGAGACCTTTGCTCGCAAACATCTAACTTCGACAGGGTACATGAGATACTGATGGAACTTTTCATAGATGTTGGGCTCATGGAAGTACATTAGTAAAAAAAAATTTCATGCTTTTATACCTTACCATTCAGAAGATATCGAGAGACCAAGCTGTAAAACAGGGCTTTTAGGCGTACAAATTTTTTTCTAATTTACCTCAAACTGTGAAGTTCGTGTTGGTTTTATTTGAAAGAGAACTCATTACTGTTTCGGATGGTGGAAAGGGTTTTTTAATTTTCACTTTGTTGTATTTTAAAGATCACTGAAATCTCAAAAAACTGGAAATCCTAGGCATAGTTTTCTGGAAAACCTAGAGTTTCTTTAGAATTGATGGCCAATTAGAAAATTCATTTTCCTCATCTAAAAGACTATGCATGTATGTATCGATGAAAGAAAAATACAGCTCTCTAGATTGACGTATATTGAAAAAAAATTTGCTCACAATTCAATCATTCGCAAAAAACTCAATTTTGAGAAAAACGCAAAACAATTTTGTTTTAATTAGTCTTCCTATTATTAATTAAAACTGAGGTAAAGCCTGAATATATTAGATGCCAATTGAAGCTCTTATCGATGCACATTAAGTTATCCCCATATGAGACATATCACAAAGGATGAGGCGAACTGTAATTGTCTTTATATCCGTTATGCCATCGAACAACATGATAAAGACAGAATATGGGTCAAAATTTATATTTCCGTGTGTCGTAAATTTCTTCGCCATTTCAAATGTTAGAAAGTTCGGATTAGTGTCAAAAATGAAGACAAAACTTAGCTCTACAACTTAACAGTGACCGATCGTTCGATTTCTCCCTAGCTTGTGTCACTAGAAAACTCTTCGGATGAGATGCAGAAAACTTAGGGAGAGGGAGTAGGTCCATAACAATGGCAGGTCTAGGATTCTGCCAGAGTGAGGAGAGCTACTTTTTTTTGAAGCAGTAAAGAGTATAGATCAGCGTGAATGGAATCATCTTTGTGAGGCTTCTATGTTGGTTAGGGAAGGATTAAATTACGTCGTAAGTTTTACGTGGCGTAATCGCATTGAAAGTTCGATCGCCGAAAGCGTCGAACGGCTAGATCTGCCACTGATCCATAACAGTTAGTTTTTTATAAATATTAATGGAAAAATCGAAAAATCCAGCTCTGTTATCGAACTCATTTTTATTTCTTATCACAATTTTTAAAATCATGTTTTATTTTAAAATGATCCTACTGCAACAAGAAAACAACAAAAACAACAACAACAAGAATTACATATCACTGTACGTAAATTAAACTTTAACAAGAAAAAAAAACAACAGACATATACAACATTATTAAGCTAATCGAAAAGATGCAAAGTATTTCATTATATTTTGAAGATAAACACATAAAATATGGAAATATTTAATACATATTTCCCAAACAAGACGAGGTGGTAATGTATTTGTTAATAAATAACCAAGCACAAGACCAATGGCAAAAATTGTTAATGTAAAGAAAATTTTTGATATTGATGATTGTTGAACAATAAAATTTTCTTTTGTGAGTATAGAATCAGTTGTTGATGGAATTTTACGTTGTCTAAAAATTGAAGATGACAATGGTTCTTCAATCAATGAGGATGATGTTTTATTTTGTAGATTCATAAGTGTAGTCGGTACGGTTTGTGGAGATAATAACATTGACGATTGATTATTAAAATTAAATGAATTATTATTATTAAAATTAGTTGAGAATATATTTGATGGAACTTGTTGTAAAGTTGAATCTGTTTGTTCAAGCCATAAATTATTACGAAGAGTTGAAGCAGCAAAACGAAAACGTGACCATAATTGAGCTTGATGTTGACCGAATAGAGTCGGTGTTGTTGAAGATTGAGCAAATAAAGTGGAATTATTTAATGTTGAAAATAGATTCATACCAAATATATTCGTTTGACGTGATGAAGTTGTTGGACGCGTATAATGACTATTAGTCTCACGACTTGGCCATACACAATTTTTGTTTACTAGAAAAAAATAGCTGTTAGCATAATCTTTATGAGACTAAAATGTGAAACACGATATGACTGTTGTTGCTAATCACAGAGAGATTGTTTTATTCTATCTATTCTGGAGATATATTTCTTCACCATCATTTTACTCGATCCTTTACAACTGCAATAAGAACGTAGTTCACATATTATAACGAGGTTTTATTAATATACAGTCTTTGATTATATACCAACAGCATCTCTCATGGTTTGTGACATTTCTATAGTTACATTAGTCATAGTCTGTGACGTAGAGTGGGGGAGTGTTGCTAAGACGTCTGTCGCGCTCTTGATAAGCCGTCTCTGATGTGTCTGTCACGTCTGTAGGAGAGGAAGAGGCAGAAGTGAGTCCAAATTCCTACCTCTATACTTCAACAGTTCTTTTCGATCGTGTTTCATTAAAAAAAAAGTTAACATTGAATTTATTTTTGAAATATTCAAAAACAAAAAAATCTTACATTTTCCTTCATCTAAACTACAACTTTCGAATCTATCAGCTAATATATTAACACCATCCGATGGAAAATTCGGTGCTCTAAAAAATAATCAATAGAAAAATTTTTTTTTTCTTTCTTTCTTTAATATTTTACCTATCATTAGACGATGTTGTTGGTTCTTGTTTTGCAAATAAAATTGAAGTGTTATTTAAACTATTCGTTAATGTTGTAGTCATTCCAGTAAATGCATCAATACTACGTCGTAATGTTGATTGACGCCGTTGTTGTTTAGGTAATGCCTCTGATGTAATTATTAACTTTCCAATAGCTTTTGCTCTTGATCTTGTCATTGGTGGTTCCATTCTATTGATTGATTGTTTTTTTAATGGTGAATATGATCGTTTTTCAGCTGGATATCGAGGTGGTGGTCGTAAGTCAAATTCAGAACCACAATCGGACAAGAAACTGTGTCTCGAATTTTCATCATCGGATGCAATACTACAACTTGAATTCCACGTCATTCTAATTCATAATCTAGAAAAAGAAGAAGAAGAAGACGATGAAAAGAAAAATGTTTTACAACAACAAAAAAACAAAAGAAAAAAAAAACACAAGGTCAAAGACAAACAAATAGCAAAACACAAAAAAATGACATTAAGCATTTATAACAGAAACAAAATCTTAAAGATCATTTTTGAGTAGTATTTCGTTTATTTTCCATTCTTTGGTATATACGCATTAATTGTCGTTTTGCTTCACAATCAGGTAATGATGGTAATTCATAATATTGTGGAGCTATTGTTAATAACCAATCAGGTTTTATATCTGTAACTGTACGAATATAATTTTTTGTTGTTAATACAAATTCATTATATAAAACCCATTCTGGTTTATGATCTAGACAAGTTGATGGATGTAATTGAACAATTTGATTGTCTTTTATTGTTAAATAATGTCCTGTTTTTTCTAAATGTGCCGCTTGCATAAAAAATCCACTAACAAGTGCTTTACGAATATTTATATAATAATCTGGTGAAGTAAATTCAGTAGATGAACGTTTCAAATTAAATCTAAATTAACAAAACAAAAACAAAACAAAAATGACATGTTAAGAAAACAAACATCAATAGTAAATACAAAATAGACTCACCGATCCATAATACGTCCAAGTTGTGTTCGAACATTATCTGCAGATTTTAATGAACGATAATTAACAAAATTAGCATAACACCAATGATTATCTTCATGATTTTGTTTAAATGCATGATAAACATTTAACATTGTTAAATGATCACCATCAATATGAGCAAAACGTGTTTTGGCTTCATCAGCTTGTTTACGTACATCATTTGGTCGAACAAAACATTGTGGTACAGAAAGCATTGCAGTTAAAGATAAAATTTCATTTGAACATGAATAATCACATGATGCTATAACCATTTTAGCTAATTGTGGATCAAGTGGAAATTCAGCCATCATTGAACCTAATTCAGTTAAATCACCTTCATCATCAATAGCAGCTAAATAATTTAATAATTCTAATGCACGCATTAATGTTTCAGGTGCTGGTGGATCCATAAAATCAAAATGAACAAGATCATCAATACCTAATTTTTTTAATTGTAATACAACACTGCCTAAATTCGATCGAAGAATTTCTGGATATGTATTTTCATGCATTTCAGTTTTATACGCTTTTTCTAAAAATAATAATAACAGAATTTCAATCAATAGAAAAACAAAAAAAAAATTGGGTGATATAAAAGTTTCAGGAAATATATATATCGTTTCATTTTTTCATTGCCTAAAGCATATTCTAGAAAAAAAGAAAAACTTCCATTAAGAATCAACATTGAACGCTGCTTAACAACTGCATTTCCAAAAAAATGTTCAATCACGTCTTGTTTCTGATGCGGAAACCTTCCCAAATTGAAATATACTTTTGAATTCCGACTCTATGCAATCATGCAATAAAATCTTCGAAAGGATAAGGGCGCCTAGGTCTTCCCAAAACGGGTAGAGTCGTTTTAGTAGAATGTTGTTCATAGATAGGCCCGCTTGTAACTAGAATGTCTTGAAAATTTCAGCCTAAAAGAACGTTCTGTTTACAAGATATTGAATTCTCAATAATTACTCATATTCGAGAATTTTAATTTTTTGAGAATTCAATATTTTGTGAAGAGAACATCCTTTTCAGCTGAAATTTTCAAAACTTTCTAGTTACAATCTACAGGCAAAAGTTCAGATCACAATATCATTATTTAATTCTTTTGTACATGTCATGTAATAGACTAAAATTTCAGTAGAACGACTACAACTCTGCAGCGAATGCTTAGATGCTCTTATCTTTGTGGAGTTTTTATTAACTCATTGAGTTCTATATTATACACAAAGCCCGAGTTCAAAACAAATCTTTAAACGACAGTAAAATGTATTCTGTAAAACAATTTGCAATGACTACCGTAGGAAAAACGGATTTCTCAATAGTTTTGGATTATCTCCTTTACGTTCTCTTGTATTTTATTGTTCTTCTTTTTTTCACTAGATTCATTGATTAATAGACGTGTAACATGAGAAAACTATCTTGAAAATAGCTGAGTGTATCAAGTTGTCCTTTGATTCTTAAGGATTTCTCCACGTGCTCTTTCTTTTGTCTAGCGGACACTTGTCAAAAATACTCAAAAGTCGGATTTCTAGAAAACCGTGGTTTTAGAACCAATGGTTGTGGAAGTGTTTTTTTTTAACGGCCTATAATGATAGAGCAATCAATTCAAGCTATATTTACAGAGCACAATTTTAGTACATTTCGAGAATTTACTCAATACTGAAAAATAGAATTTTATTTCCGAACGTATTGTTAAAAGATATGATTTTGTTTCAAACAATGCTTTAGTTAATGAAAAATCAAGCAATATTATTTCAAAAATTTTTTGCATGTATTCATTAAATAATTTTTCTACCTGTATAAAGACGAAAACATTTTCCTGGACGAGTACGTCCAGCACGACCAGCTCGTTGTTGTGCACTAGCTTTTGATATTGGTGTAACAAGGAGTGATTCAACTCGTATACGTGGATTATAAACTTTTTGTTTGGAAAAACCAGGATCAATAACAAAAACAACACCATCAATAGTTAATGATGTTTCAGCAATATTTGTTGATACAACAACTTTACGACCAATAGCACCATTAGGTTTATTTGGTGGTGCTGGTTCAAATATACGTTGTTGTAAATTAGGTGGTAAAGTTGAATAAAGTGGAATGCATTTAAGTTCACCAGCTTCAGGTCCTAAACCTTCAACTTCACGTTGTAATCGTTTACATGCATCTTCAATTTCTTCTTGACCAGTGAGAAAAAGAAGAATATCGCCTACAATTACAAAAAATGAAAGGAAAAATTAATTTGATCAATTCAAAATTAATTAAGATGGAAGTTAAAAATTTTAGAAATGAAATATTTTAAATTTTTTTCTAACAATTAAAACAAATCAGAGAAAAGTACTTGTCCAATTTCCATTAATAGATTTGAGTGAAAGATCTCTGAATTTTATCAAAAACATTTTACAAACAGCTTCAACTACTACAGAAAACATTTCTGAACAAAATAAGATGTCTCCGAGTTATCTTTAGCGAACGACAATCATTGTACGATAGGTCTAAACGACTGTTTTTATGAATTTACTATGTTTTACACTTTGAAACCTTTCATAGAATAAATGCAGTTCATTGAAGATAGCTCGGCGACATTTTCTTTTGTTCAGAAATAGTTTTTCTATTAGTTGAACTTGTTTGTAAAATGTTTTTAATGAAATCCAGAGACATTTTACCCAAATCTCTTAATGGAAATTGAACAAGTACTTTTCTTGATAGGAAATTATTTCAACTATTCAAATCTTTTCTCTGATTAGTTCTAGTTATTATCAGTAACAAAAGAAATTAAAAATATTTCATTTCTAAACTTTTAAGTTTAATTTCATACCTTCTTGTTCTTCACTCATATGAATTTGTACAGTAGTACGAATAGCTGCTTCTAAATAATCACGTTCAGGTTCAGGTGTATAAAAAATTTCAACAGGAAATGTTCGACCAGGAATAGTTAATAATGGTGCTTTATCAAAATAATCTTGAAATTTACCAGCATCAAGTGTTGCCGACATAACTAAAATAAAATAAAATAAAATTCTTCCATAAATATTTTTCTATATATAAATATTCTATTTACCAATTATTTTTAAATCAGGTCTTTGTTTAGCAACTTCTTTTAAAAGACCCATTAAAATATCTGTTGCTAATGTACGTTCATGCGCTTCATCCAATAATACACATACATAAGATTCAAGTAATGGATCAGACATAGCTTCGCGTAATAACATACCATCAGTCATATATTTTAAAACAGTTTTAGGTGATGAACAATCTTCAAATCGAATTGAATAACCAACTTCTTGTCCAAGTGCAACATCGATTTCATTTGCAACACGTTGTGCAACAGACATAGCAGCAACACGACGTGGTTGTGTACATGCAACACCACGACGTTTTTGTCCATTTGAAATTTGTAATGAAAGTGCAAAATCAACACACCATTGAGGAATTTGTGTTGTTTTACCTGAACCGGTTTCACCAACTAGAACAGTTACTTGATTTTTTTGAAGTGTACTCATAAATGCTTCTTTATATTCCCAAACGGGTAATTGTCGTCGTTTTTTATATAATTCATAATATTGTTGAGAATAAGGTTGCATTGTAAAACGATTAATATTTGAATTTGATGTTTCATTTAATTGAGATATTTTATTAGAATCTTTTGATTTATTACTATTATTGAAATAATCTGTTTCAACTACATCATCAAAACGACGTTTTCGTGGTTTATTTAGTTCAGAAGATGATGAAGACGAACCAACATCGAGACGTTGCTTACGAGAAGTCATTGCGAAACTATTTTTGTACAATAAAAAAAAGAAAAAATCAATAAATATTTTCCTTATATTACATATAATTGCAGCAATACGCAACGACAAGGAACTAGTAGAAACGAAACGAATCGGTTATTTACTGAAGCATTCTAGCTTTATATATGTTGATTAGTTAACCAATAATATAAGTTCAATAAAAGATGTCACTAAATAATAAAAGCTAATAGGTCGAGAATAACAAAAGATTATTGTTTAATGATTTACTGACATCTAGTTTTTAGATATTGATATTTATGATTGTATATAAAAGTTCCAAGAATAATCATTATGTTATTTCATTTGAGTTTATTTAATTGATGAGTTTTATGCTGAAAGAGTCAGTCGATGTAAAAGAATATAATTATGATCTCCAGTGAACAATTTTGCATCCATAAAATATCAAAGTTTAATTATTAGTTTTTTGTATGAGTACAATTCTTTCGTAGTCAATAGACTTTGTAATTGCTCTTATGTATAATTTGCATCGCTAAGTATCTACTGTACTAGTATTTGATATTTTAAGCTAATTTGTTTGTGTACATCGTACCGGCATAGAAATGAATAAATTTAATTGTATATACACATATAGGACAAAAAGATCTTGTATCCTCTTTTAATATCATAATGTATTCATTTAGTATCGAACGGATGTTAATTACAACAAGCTTTAGATACTTTATTTTGAATGTAGAGTATTCTTATAATAAACATAACGAACTAATGAAGTAATGAAACCGTCACTTTTGGCGATGACATGTTTTTAGCTAAGTCATATGTTTAGGACAGACACTTACATAGAAGAGAGAGATGAAAAAATGATATATATCATTATCAACACAAGTATATCAGCGATGCATTTGCTTCAACGAAGAATTACCGTTTTTTTTAACACGATTGAATAATAATGCAAATGAGTTAATTGACAGAATCTTTCGTAACGTTGTATGTTTCTTTTTGTATATGCTGATAGTTTTATCGATTAAAACTCTTTTTGTTATTGATTTAAAGTCTAATCAAATATGCACAGTTGGTTGACAGATCCAAATAAACGAAAAATTGACAAAACAATTGCAATATACGATAAAAAGAGAGAGAGACAGTAACTTGTGCAACGTATAAAAAATTGTGACAGTTATTACCTATGCCATATGATATAACCTTGTCTTATGTTGTCCGAACACTGACATTTTTACTTCTTTCTGTTCTTCTTTTTTGCACATACATTATAAAGGAGGAGGACGCATTCAAAGACTTACATACTAACTATAGAAGAAGCAGCATTTTGTACAAAGAGAAGTACAATTCGATAAAAAAATAATGAACAAGTATAAAATGTCAATAGTATTCTATAAAATGAGAGAAATTTTCATTGTTCATTTCATCAGCAAAATGTACTGTGTATACACATTATAGAGTATGAATTTTTAGATCGAGATCTAAACTTGCGTGCACAATAGAAGCTACCAAATATGAATCTAGACTGGGAGCGATGAGTTTCACTTTTTAGATTTATAACGACAATTAGATGCAGACACATAGACAAGCGTTTATTTCAATCTATTAATATGTTGAATCAGAAATATCACAGAACAATTTTTATTGTTTATTATTATGATCTTCATGATATTTTTGATCAATCTGAGAAGCAATTCTATATATATATATATAGCTTCAATGTTTATGTCTTCTCAACCACAATTCATTAGGTTAGAAAGAAAAATAAACTAAGAGAAGTATCATCTTTTAAACTATACTTGAAAATGGCATTATCCTATTAATCGAGAAAACTGAAGTTGTAATCTATTATCCATATATTAAACATCCACAATGAATTTATTTTTTTAATTCTGTATCAACAGCACAAGTTCAACCATTTAAATATCCAATATATATACTTTCATTATTGACTAAGTCTCAATGCTTTTATATTCAACAACAACAACAACTAATCAAAATGAGTAGTGCTCTCATCATTTTTAAATATATCAACAAACATTATCTCACATTTTTTGTCTGCTTTTATATGGTGTCATTTTAGTTTAATCTTTATAATATACGTACTATGTTCCATTGGGGAATTAGAGAAAAATGTCACAAATTTTATAAAAAATCCCTACGCATTATATACAATCTACAAAATCCGACTAATACTGATTTACGTGAAACTTTGATCCTTCTAACACTTAAAGATTATTTTAGAATAATTATACAAATGCGTCTAGGTAATATTCAGAATCATGAATTGCAAATACTTAATACTATTCATCAACAACAATGATTGAATCTAATATTACAACATCAAAATGTATTTCTCATTGTTATGAGTGACTAGTTACGATAAGATTCTTGTGAGCAATTTTTCGGGGCTCAAGATCTCAAAAATCATGTGCGCAAATAAAGTTTTAAGAAGTAGACACTGTAATGTAGAAAAGGTTTTTGTTCTTTTTGAACATTGCCTTAAAATGTGTTCAACTATATCTGAGTATGAATCTAAGGCACTCTAACATACGAAGTAATGTAAGTTTCGTACATTTTTGTATCTGCTTTATATAGCAAGCAGTAATCGAAGAAGATGAAGAGAAATTTTATTAATTTAACCAATTATGTAGTTGATGAAAAGGTGTCACTAGTTGTTATGGTAAAACAAATCCATAGCAACAAATCATTGGATGTTGTACAGAACACAAAAAAACGCTTTTTTTTTTGTCTTTCTCTTAAATAAAATAGAATAAAAAAAAATGTTGATCAATGATACAAATGTAAAATCATTTCGTATGACAAAAGTATTTCGTGAAAATACTGAACGTATAAATGCATGTGATTTTAATAAAAATGGTTTGTCTAATTCTTTTTGTTTCTTTTTTCTTTTTTGAATTTTTATTCTTATTTTATATTTTTGAATTAGGTGATTTACTTATCTCAAGTTCAGATGATGATACAATTGTTGTTTATGATTGTGAAGCTGGATTGTAAGAATATCTTTTTGAACTGTAATTTATAAAATGAAATCAAAATTTAGACCTAAACGACCTATACCAAGTAAAAAATATGGTTGTGATATGATACGATTTACACGTAGTGGTGAACAAGCACTTCATTGTTCAATGAAAGTTGATGGTAAAAAAGAAATTTTATTTTTTATTTTTCAATAATTATAAATAATTTTTTTTTGATTCTAGATAATATTCGATATTTATCATTATCGGATAGTAAATATATTCGTTATTATACAGGACATACAAAAAAGTAGGATATTTAAAAAGAATTTTTTCTATTATGAATATATATCTATATTTAGAGTACGAAGTTTAGCTGTATCACCAATTGATAAATCATTTCTTTCAGCATCAGCTGATCGAACTGTACGTGTATGGGATTTAAGAAGTGCACTTTGTCAAGTAAATATTTATTAAAAAAACAAACTTTCATAAAGTCATTATTTTCTTCGAAAAAAAATATAGGGTTTGATTATAACACCAGGAAATCCTGTAGTTGATTATGATCCAGATGGACTTGCTTTTGGTATTGGAATTGATTCACAAATAATTGGATTATATGATATTCGAAATCATGAAAAAGTAGAAATATTGTTTATTATTTTAATTAAAATGAATTTTTTTAAAAGGGACCTTTTGAAATGTTAAAATATGAATGTGAAGGTGATTTTGAATGGACACATTTAAAATTTAGTCCTAATGGAAAAATGATTCTTGTTTCAACAAATACTTCATTAATATTACTTGTTGATGCATTTAGTGGCGTTCTTTTACATACATTTACTGTAATGGAAAAAAGAAAACAAATGAAAATTTTGAATTATTTGATTTTCTTGTTAAGGGACATCAAAATACAAAAAATGTACCTTTGGAAGCTTCATTTAGTCCTGATTCGAAATATGTATTTTGTGGTATGTATTATTCGTTATTATCAAAGATATAAAAGTGTAGGTTAGTTCTGTTTCAAAAAAGAACAAATACAGAAATAAAAACTTCTCTATTAGTAAATAGAATATCGTCTAAAAAAACAAAGCAGTATAATATTAAAATGGATTCAAATTTTTTGATAGCCTCCGATGATCCTTTCTGCATTTGTTATGAAGTATATTAATACTGATTGACAACAATTGGTTAGTATAAAGAATTCTGAATCATTCAAAGCTTATATATCGGATCATTAGCTACCTTGAGATAGATTTTCTACTCTAGCGGATTTCGGAGATCGGTTTTGGAATCCATCGTTCTTTTCCTTAGAATAATGACGTAATCCATGGTGAGCTAGGTCACACGCCATCAGATAAATGAAAAATGTAATAATTATCATCATTGAGACTATATTGCATAGATTACATTCAAGATCATAAACTGCTGTCCTCCCGAACTTCTCTTCTGGTTACGCTACTACCTTATAAAAAACTGTTATCGATTTTTCTTAATAGAGACATATACATCCGTTCTCTTGCTGACATCATAGGTCGTTCACTATTGTGTGGGTTCATTTTGCGTTCTTTTATTTACGATCACTTCGTCAGTCGAGATATATATTCTATGATTATATAACATTGTTTAAGAAACTTCGTGTTCTATAAAATTTCATTTTTTTTCTAGGTTCAACAGATGGTCGTATACATATTTGGCGTACAACTGATGGTGAAAAACTTACAACATTTACTACTGATAATACTTCAGATAGTATACAATGTGTTCAATTTAATCCAAAATCATTTATGTTAGCAACTGCTTCAACAAATATGGTTAGAATAAGAAATTATTTAATAAAAATAAATAATTTAATATTGTTGTTTAGGTATTTTGGTTGCCACCAGTCGATGATGATTAAAATAAATAGTCTAATAATAAATTGTTTTTCTTGTCTTTCGTTTTTTTTTCTTGGGGTGTGCAATACTCTTATTATTGTGCTATGTAAATTATATGTGTTATTACTTGTACTATGTATTTTTAGATGACTGAAGAAACAACAAATCTTGCACCACCTGTAGATAATACAGTTGTACCACCAATAACTGAAACACAACCAGTAACTGATGAAAATCTAAGAAGTCCAACAGAAGATGCTATACAAACTGAAATTAAATATTCAATGTTAAATCCTGAATTAAAACCTGTTCGTCGTATTATAGCTGATGATCTTGAATGGAGTTTACGTATTGTTCCAGCATTAACTGATTTAGCATTAAATTCTCTTGTAAAAAGTTTTGATACAAATCCAAAATATAATGAATTATTAGATAAACATCGTAATCAATTATTAAAAAGTTTACCAACACATGTTCCACTTAAAGTTACAGCACCATTAGTTGAAGATGAAAATTATTGGCAAAAATGTTGTAAAGAAAAATGGCCTATTTGTGATATAAAACAATATGATAATTCTTGGAAACGTTTTTATTTTGAAAAACATATTGAAGAAATTATTGAAAATTTTGTACCATCTCAAACTGATACGAAACAATTATTTGAATATGTTAATCTCGGTAAGCTTCAATTTGAAGGAAAAATAACCTGTTGCTAATCACAGGAAGATTACTTTATCTATTTTGGGGGACACATTTCTTCACCATAATTTTACTGAATCCTCCAGAAATGCAATAAGAAAGTAGTTCATATATTAAAACTAGACGTTATTGATATACGATCTTTGATCATATATTAACAGCGCCGGTCACAGTTAGATCCCGTCGGGTTGGATCCGGACCCGCTCGGATCTGGGTCCAGCTGCCACCTGACAACTGCTACACTAAAAGTAACAGTCAATTGTGACCTCCTTCTTATATGACTACCATCAAGATACTCTGAGAAATGTATGGAGCGCGCTACTTGTCGAATATAAATAAGCGAAAACAGGTATATCTTATCTTCGAAGCGATTATCAAGTTGTATTAAAAGTTTTTATTAAGACTACTATTAGTACAGATCGGATCTGGGTCTGAAAAAGTTTAAACAACCGGGTTCGGGTCTGAAAAAACGTTCAATTAACTGGATTCGGTCCAAATATTTCGAACCCTACAGGCTCTAGTCACAGTTTGTAATGGTCTATGGAGGGAAGACCCAAATTTTATCCTTCTACATCAACACGTCTTTTAGATCGTGTTTCATAAAAATGTTTCTTTTTTCTAAGGAGCACAATATGTTAAACGACTTGATATAAAACAACTTTTACCACCAGTTGAAATGCAAGATAAAATTTTACAAAATGAAGATGAATTTTTTGATGATGATGAAGATAATGATTTAAATGATGGTCGTGATGCTGAACTTAAAAAACCATTATGTGATCATTTTGATTTTACAGAACTTATTAAACGTTTACCAAATTTAGAAGAACTTCATTTAGTTTATGGTGTTAAAGGTTGTGGAATGAATTTTGATTGGAATATGTTTGAATTTACAAAAAAAGATTGTCAAATATTAGCAAAATCTGTACAACAATGTAAAACATTACGAGTTCTACATTTACATAGAAGTAAAGTTGATGATCTTAAAATAAGAATGTTAATAAGAGATGGTTTACTTGATCATCCAACATTAGAAGAACTTAATCTTGAACATAATCAAATTAGTGATCGTAAGCTTAAAAAAAGAATTTATTTTCTTTCCATCATAATCAAATTCATTAATTTTATTGATAGGTGGATGTCGAGCTATTGCTAAATTACTTAATGGACATTCAAAATTATTTCGATTGAATTTATGCAACAATCTTATTGGTCCACAAGGTAAACATTTTAGAAAGAAGAATGAAACAGAAAATGAGTTATTTATAAATTTAAGGTGCACAAGCTATTGCATATGGTGTCACAAAATCAGCAACCATTGAATATTTAAATCTACGTTTAAATCGTATTGGTGATGAAGGTGGTCAAGCTATTTGTTTAGCATTATTAATAAATCAATCATTATGTGAATTAAATTTATCATCAAATAATCTATCCGAACCAACAGGAAATAAATTAGCTGAAATACTTAATCGAAATAAAAGTTTATTAAAAATTGATATGAGTGCTAATCGTTTAGGTGGTGATATTGGTAAATCATTACAAGAAGGTTTACAAGATAATAGTACATTATTATATTTTGATTTACGTATGACAGAATGTGGACAAGAATCGGAATATATAATTAATCAAAAATTAAAAGCCAATCGAGAACAAGATCGTTTAATACGTATACAGGAAAAGAACAGTCATGATACTAAAGGCCGAACATATTCACATTTGTTTTGAGAATTTCTTTTTTAGTCTTTAATGATCCGTCCATTTTATTATATTCAATTTAATCTTTTTTTCTTTTCTTTATTTGAATATTTTTTGAATAATAAAAAATATTGCATCATGAATAATTATTATCCGTTTCGAATAAGAATGAACTCGGTTGTTTGTTGAATAACTCGGCAACACTGATAGCTATCGAGCTTGGATTTTCGCTGTTAGAAAGAACATGAATGGTTGTACAAGTCTACCTGAGAATCAAAATATTTAAAAAGGTTTCAGAGAGTTGCAAGAATTTTTTGGAAAATCATTTTCTGATTCGATTGATTAGCTGTATTTTCAATTTCAATTTCAATTTAGCCATATTGTAACCCAATGTCTACTCTATAAACTCCGAAATTTTTAGATGTTTTCGACCTCGTCTTAAAAAATGATGGCCATTTCTACTGAATTTTTGGTCCTTTCCTAGGTATCTACCGGAAAATGAAATTTGCCCATAGAATATCCTAAAAGTTTTAACCAAAAAAGATGTTCCTTTCTCGAAATATTGGGTTTTCAGTTTCACTTGAAAATATACCTAATCAAGTGAATCAGACAGTGATTTTTAAAAAAATTCCTGGAATCCCCTAGAAAACTTTTCAGACATTTTGATTCTCAGGTCGAAAACTCAAGCTCGATAGCTATCAACGTTATCGAGTTATTCAACAAACAACCGAGTCTATTCTTTTTTGAAATGAATATTAGTTCTAACTTATGTCTGGAAATATCCACTTTTAAAGATATACAAAAACGAAAATTTTTCATATTATAGTCCTTCAATGTAGGACTCCTCTATAATACTTTTTTGATATTAATCTACTTGATTCTTCTATTTACATTTATATTTCTATTTAAAGAATCTGAAAATTTATTAATCTACGCGCACAAAGTCTTTGTACAATATATTTGATCGATTTTCGTTTATTAATAAGTTATTGAAGAGAATCAAAAGTAATCTGTTAGAATCTGAATTTCATAGTCTCTCTAACGCTATATCGAAAATTCTTTTTTTTTCTGGTTTTAAGTTAGTTCACTGAGAATAAAAATTTGGTGGCAGCCAAAAGCAACATTTGTACAAAATGCTAATTTAAAAGGTATCGATAATTTTGAAGATTTTGATGTCATTGAAGAAGGTCAAAAGCGGTCAATTAGAACCAGAATTTGATATTCTTTTCAAATAGACGTTCAGAATTTTTCAGTGAATTACGATTAATTAGCTGTGAGCAAATATTTAAATAAATCAAAAATATTCTTACACTAAGCAAAATAGGCTTTCTTCTATTATTCATAAATTCTCTGAATGAGATTTTAGGATAACTTTGATCTTTTAATGTTACATAGAATTTAATTCACTATGAAATCATACATTACTGCAATCTAGAACTGAAAAAGAATTAAACTCTATATACAATTTTCGAATGATTACTCTTTACGCGAGACAACATTTTTCAAAAAAGCCATGTTTGTCGAATTTTGGTATTCAGAATATAATAGATTTTGATCATTTGTAACAATATCTAAAAAGAGAAACGAATTCAATATTTTGTAGACAAAGTTTCCGCTCTACGATCTTATATATATATATATAAATACTTTCTTTTACTTTGAATTGAGATAGATTTTATCAAAATATAAAACAGAATTACATAAAAAATTTTTGTATAGGTGTCCTTTTCTGACCTCCATCAAAGGTTTGTCCTTAATGAATTAATTTTAAGTCAAAAAACAAATTCTTATTATATAGTTAGAAAGAGCATGAAAATCTGTTCCTAGCTGAGTAGATGAAAATTAACTAGAGATATTGTGCAAAGACTTTTTACACACAGATTACTTATACTATTGTTAGTCTTTTTATTACAAGTTATCAGCAATTCAATGAATAAAATTATTAAAAATTTACAAGCAAATTCAAAGAAATACACTAGAATTTAAAGGAATAAGTAAGGATGTAACAGAAGCTAAAGATTTATGAATAAATATTATCGTTATAAATTGTTATCTTTCTTGACGTAGGTCTGTTTAGATGAATCATAATTGCTATCTTATACCTTGAGATAAAAAAAAATTAAAAGGACGAAGAGACAGGAATATATATCCATCGTTTTTTTGATCTTTTTGAATAAAATATAAATGTGAACACAATCTATCTTCATCACATAGCACAAAAGGAGCAATTAGTTATTGATAACAGTCAGTAATGTGAGTATTCGTTTAACACAAGAAAAAAGTAAATATGAAGCATGATTCAAATCTATCTTGAAAGTATTTTGTTCAGGCTATATTTTCAAAAAAAGAATCAGTCATATAAAATAATGTTTTGAATCTATTACATCGTATAAAAATTGTCTCTTGCTTACATTTAGAATCTGAAATATTCATATGCATTCAATTTGTCGTTTAATTATTGTGCTAATGAAATTTCCTCCTCATTTAACTACACATTGTATTCGATAGAGTTTTTCAAGTGTTACAAAATGAACTACTTTTTACGGTCCAAAAAATAAAGTTCTGAGTCTATTATTCTCGAGGCTCAATTTTTTATTCTTTCGACTAAAATTTAATGGTTTTCAAGCAGAATAATAGTGACGTATGTGTATGTCAAACTATTTCTACGACCTTTCTCTCTGATGAAATTTTCACCCCTGGATCTTCTCAAGGATGTGTAAAAAAAAATAAATTTTATTAAAATGTCATTGTGACAGTGGAAAGTAAGTTCTCGACTTGTAAAATATTGTTTGAAGACAAGAAGACAGGTGAGTAAACAATAAATTAGTTGTTTTGATTAAATTCATTTTTCTACATATCTCTGATGGGAGTCGGGGTCAAAATTTCATCAGATAAAGTTTAAAATACACATACATCAATTGATTTCAAATATAATATTTGTCTGAAATTAAATGAGTATTAATCGGCTCGAAAATCGTCACATGTTAGTAGAAAAAAATGAAAATAGGATCTCAAGAATAGTGAACTTAGAAGTTTTTTTTTTATGTGATCTATTTTTCTTAAACCGTGAAAAGTATAATTCATTTAGTACTGCTTGAAAAGCTCTATTAAATATAACGTGAGATAAATGGGAAGCAAATTTCATTAACACAATAATCAAACGATAAATGGAATGCAAATAAATATTTCAGATTCTAAATGCAAGCAAGAGAGAATTTTTATACAGTATAGTAGATTCAAAACAGTATTTTCAATGCCTGATTCTATTATGAAACTACAGCCCGAACAAAAAACCTATCAAAATAAATATGAATCACTCTTCACCTTTTTTTTCTGTCAAACGAATATTCACATTGTTGACTGATGTCAATAACTAGCTACTTCTTTGGTATTATATGATGAAGATAGACTCTGCTCACAGCTACAATTGATTCAAAATGATCGAAGCTCATGAGCTTTCATTCTATATATGATTCAATTAGGTAGGATCTTGAAAGTGAAAAAAGACTGCAAAATACGTCCTTGTGCATTCCCGTTCTCTCCAAAGAAAAAATGCAGACGTAAGATTTCAACCTTGAATGGTACAACGAATGCATATGAACAAACGACAACAGATACAGAAAATTAATACGATTCAATATGAGACTCATATATGTTAATTTACAATTTAAAAAAAAAAACTTTTTTACTAATCGAGTTAGACCATTTCATGCTTTTTCGAGTTCTATTTCCTATCATTCATAGGTAACATTCTCAATTGAGTCACTGTTGTCTTAAAAAAACAAACTGTGTTTATTGTCTTTTTTTCTTTTGTACTTTGTTTTTTGTGTTGTAAATATTCATGAGATTATACTAACAACATTTATTTTATTCGTAGATTTGCCCGATAATAACTTAATTCCTACAATGATTGCTCTTATTTATGTTACTATTGTTTTAACAGTAGTATACTTTTTGTTTAATTTTCTTAAACCTGATTCAAATCGTCGAACTAATCATCATGCTCATCTAGGTAATATACATTCATAACAAAAAAAAAAAAAGAAATTATTTTTCTATATTAAATATAATTCTAGAAAAAACACCAGAACAAATGTCAATGCCAATTTATCGTCCATTTAAAGATGGTCCATTTCAAATGACAATGAGTAATTAGATATAATATTTCTAATATCATAATCATATTCATCTATTTATAATATAGATCTTCGATCATTAGATATTAATGAATGGATACAAATTGATCCAAATTATCGACAACATATTCAACTTAAACAAAAATTATTAAACAGTACTCGTCGAAATGATTTATTTCTATATAAAAATGAAATATATGATGCATCAATGGAAATTTTAAAAATGTTAATTGAATATCTTCCATATCAATATCCAAATATGTTTCAACGTAATCATTCGAAAACAAAAATTATAAATCTTATTACTCAACAAACATTTGATTTAACAGAACCTGATCATATGCATCCATTAGAAATAGCTACACTTCTTGTTCAAGAAGATCTTGTTATAATGCAACGACATCCAAATGAAGAAATATATCATGCAAATGTAATTCAATATTTTTTTTTAACTCTTCATATGAATTGAAAAACTGTATGTGTGTTTTTTTTTTGTCATAGGCATTATCAGTTCTTTTTCCATCTGGATGGTTACCTAAATCAAAATTTGGTTTACCATTAGCATCAGTTCATATGCCACAGGTACCATTTTTTCAAGAAAAATTACGAATGTCAATGGACAGATATTTTCTTAAATTAAAAGAAGATAGTCCTGTACAACGTTTAAATTGGTCTTGTATATTTTAATTGAAATATATATTTTTTTTTTTCTTATTAATTGATTTATTTTGATTTAGTACAAATTGGTGATAATCTTTGTCATACAGGCAAAGAAGATAATCTAAATGACTTAATTACAAAAGATAATGCAGGTCAATTAATATATCTTCGTGTTGAACGACAAACTTTAAGACGTTTATCAAACTCAGATACAATTTTATTTACAATTAAAACTTATTTGACAACAGTTGCAGATGTATGTCGAAATGATCCAGATATGGCTAAAACATTAGCTGGTGCGATTAGAAATTGGCCACCAGAAATGATTAAATATAAAGTAAAGAACAATAAATTTTGTTTTTCAATGTGATATCAATGCAGAAATAATTTATGAGAGAATTTCTGTAATTATCGAACATCGTTTCATTTTCAGAATATCGAACCAAACAGCATTCCCAACTTGAAAATGACTTTTCAGCTCAGAATCTATGCATAAGATCGAACTCAATGATATAATGACAACTTTAAAAGGGTTGTCACCTAGATCTTCTCTACAGAGCTATAGTCGTTTTACTGAAATTTTATCCATAGATCCTATCAACGATAAAATGCTTGTGAATCGTATTTTTGATGAATACTTCTTTGAGTAGTCAACCACAGAAAACGCAGGGTGCTCAGAAGATTTTTTCATCTATAGAACAATGTAGAGTTCGTTGTGCTGATCATTTTGGTAAAAAAATATTTAAATTTGCACAATACATCATTGTGTTAGGAGCAAAATATTCAAAAACTTCGGCTAGTCCTGACTGCTGCTTAGCGATAGTTGACATTTTTGAGTATTTTGCTCCTAGCATGATGATTTATTGAGTAAATTTGAATATTTTTTTTTTACTAAAATGATCAGTCCAACGAACTCTGTAAAGTTCTACAGACGAAAAACTTTTCTGAGAACTTTATATTTTTGCGAGTTAACTACATAAGAACGTATCCAACAATAACACAATTCGCAAGCATTTTCTCGTTGGTAGATGGTAGAGTTCGGTGGTTCCAAAAAATCGAAACCATTAAATCATCAGATAGATACAAAAATTTGAAAATAGTTGTCAAGAAATTTTCATTTTTTCATTCTTGAGACGAAAGATGCATATGTATAATATTGTTTTGTACTGAAATATATGGTATCTTTAATCTCAACAATTTAATAGTGAAAATTTCTCACAGTAGATTTAATATTTCATCTCGATCTGATGATTTAACAGCTTTGGTTGGACGTAATAGTTTTGGAACCATCGAACTCTAATAGATAGATCTGCTTGTTACTAGAATGTCGTAAAAAGTTCAGCTCAAAAGACTGTTCTATTCACAACCTATTGAATTCCGACAACAGAAAAATGAGTTTCTGGAATTTTTGGTCGAATAATGAACGATTTTTTGGGATTTTAATATCTTGTGAATGGAACATTCTTTTAAGCTGAAAGTTTCATGATATTCTAGCAACAAGCCAGTTTATCAATGAATAAAATTTCATCATTCGATTTTGTTCTACGTGTCGTGCTATGTATTAAAATTTCAGTAAAACAGGTATAACTCTGCAGCGAAGGTCTAGGAGCCCTTATCCTTTTTAAGTTTTTATGATCTCATTGTGATTCATCTTATACGCAGAGTGCAAACTGAAAATTAATTTTCAAATTAGGAACACAATGGTAAGAGTAACAGTAAATCAAATCAAGACAAAGTTTCGATTGTGAATCAAATTGTTGTTGAGACTTCTATCGGAGCCAATAGGACTCGTATATATCCATGAATTAACTTGTGTACTATCTTAGATAAAATAAATATTTCTACTTTATAGATCTTTAGAGTATATATAATCAAATCATTTTCTTTATTTGTATATCGTCCAAAAAGATATATTTTCATATTTTTAGGGTGCTGGTCCATACAAAGATGATCTTCTTGCCTATTTGGATATAATGTCATCCAAATAATAATATTTATTTGAAGAACTATTTATTATTATTAATATATAAAAAAAAAACCAAGGCAACTTTTTATCTCATTTTTGAGAATTATTAAAGGCGAAATTAATTATATACATAAAACAATATGATTATTGCAAAAAAGGCAAATTCAAGAAAAAAAGAATAAAATGTTCGTTGTTTTTCTCATTTTTATTTTTGTAACAATAAAGCAACACCACCAAGTACCCATTTACTTGGTTTTTCTTTTGTTTTAAGATAAAATGTCCAGACAAAATGTGCACCACGTGTTTTAATTTTATATACTGGACATTCATACATACCTTTTGTATCCATACGATCTGTTGGTATAGCTTTAACAAATATAACTGGCATTGCTGATGTTATTTCTTTTAATCTAGCTTCAGTTAATAGTGATGTTTGAGTATCCCATCGAGCACCTTCAAGATAAAGACCCCATATATATGCACCTTCACGTGGTGCTCCACCAAGTTCTTCTTTTGTTCGTTTAGTAATATCAACAGATAAACACATACGATCAAGAGGCCATTCATTTTTACGTGCTGTTGTTTGCATAATTGCAGTTAAAAATGATTGAGGATTAAAAAGATAACCTAAGAAAAGAAAAGAAAAGAAAAGAAAAATAACTAATGTATATGAAAAAAGATTTTTTTACCTAAAGTAACAGCATAAGGTAATTGAAAATCACTTGTCCAAGATTCAAGATCTTTAAAACGATTAAGTAAATCAACAAACCATGTACCAAGAGAAAATAATGATGGATAAGCTCGAAGTTCCCATGTTTTTGGTACTTGATCAAGATAAAGAGACTCTTGTAATGCTTCCATATCAGCAGTAACTGTTAATTCACCCTATTTACAATTGAAAATTATTTATACAATCTTCATATTCTTTTATAATTATAACTTACTTTCAAACCAGAATCTAATTCTTTTAATGAACGTCTCATTTCTTTTAATAACATATTCATACGTTCACATTCTTGTAAAGCAACAACTGTATATGGTGTTTTTTCTTCTGTTTTAGCAAATAATTCTGCCATATTAAAATCATCTGGTAATCGACCCATAATATCATCAAGTACAGCTTTTATCTAAATTAGAAAAAAAAAAAAATAGAAAAATTTCTTATGATTTTAATTTATTTTATTTTTTGATAATTTACTTTTTCTTCTCGACTTGTTACTGAACCACTTTCAGATGCTCCAGCACCTGCATCACGTGGTTGTAATTCTAAAACTGTTTTAAATAATGTTTCACTTGTTGTTGTTAAGAAATCAATTTCAGCATTTGGATGAAGACCATATAAATTTGGTGATTCTGCTGGTAAATATTCATCAATATATTGATGATAACCTTTATAATCACTATTCGGTGGAATTGGAAATAATGGTGCTAAATATAAATCACCATCGAACTAAACACAAAAAGAAACCGATATTTAGAATAAAAATATGAAAATTTTTCTTTACCATATCTGGATTAATGTAAGTTTCAAGATAACTTCGACATAAACGACGATCCCAATCATCAGTTATATGACCACCATACATAATTTCACCGAATAAATAACGAAGATCTTCCCATGGAACTTTTGAATTAGCTTCTAAATAATTGTATAAAACATCGACACTAATAGTTAAATCACCATTATTAAATGGATATCGTCTAAAATTTGACAAAAAAAAAAACAAAACTAACGATTAAATACTAAATAAATAATAAACCTATTCCATCCAATTGGTCCAAATTTACGACGTTCAGCAACAACAGCATGAAAATAGCAGAGAGCAAATAGAATCGATTTAAATTCATTTTCTTTTGAACAACGTTCCATTGTATCTTGATCAAAATTATCTAACGCTTTATGAATATTTGCATACATTCCTTTACAAAAAAGAAAAAAAAAAATTAAAATTATCATTTCTTATAATTAAAATTAATATATCCAAACCTGTTGGTGCTTCATTTGTAATCTTAATAGCTGATTCAAGAATACCTTGTGGAATACACTGAAACATAAAAAAATAAAATAAAATAAGTTGTTTTTTTTTTTTATAGAAAAAGATAAATCTTTACATGTCCATCTGGATCTGGTGCTGGTTCAGCTGAAAGAAAAACTCGAAATTCTTCATTAGCTACTTCAGCTGTTTGTTCTAATTTTTTTTCTAATTGTGGTAACCATCGAGCAACTAAATGAATATTTTGTAAAACAACCCAATGACCATCACTTGATCCATCGTCAAGTGCTTTTTCAGCGACAACATCTTGTCCTAAAAATTGTAAAAAAAAAAAATTTTCCAATTGTTTAACTAAAAGAAAAAAAATTAACCTTGTCCTAGTGAAATATTATGAAATTTGCCATTATCATTTGTAAAACCCATTTTTCGACCAAGACTTTCAACTTCTTTAAGTGGATCAACACCAGGTGAAAGAATAAAGAATATTGGAGTAGCTTTAGTTGTTTCATCATATGAACGTGCCACTAAAATATAATAAAAGAAAAAACAGTTTTTTTTTATTCAAAAATTGTTTTTCTTTTTTTTAAACATTTACATTCAATTGTTCGATTTTCAACATATTTTCGACCTAATTTTTCTTCAACAAATAAACTTAATGCATAAAGCATTCGATCAGGTCTTAAAGCTCTCATAATACATAATTTTTGTAATGATGTTTTACTCTTCCATTCTTGTGGAAATTTTTCTTTTTCTGGTGCTTCCGATTCAACAAATTTTTTCCATCGTTTAGCCGAACCTAAATCATAGAAAATTTTAAAATTTTGATTTACGAAAAAAAAAACAAACAAACAGATTATATACCTTCAATATCTCGATCTAAATTATGAAATTCTTCCATAGATGATAAAGCTTTAACTCCACCCCATGATTGTTCATTTAAGAAATCGACTGGACTTGTTAAATTTGGTACATATGGATAACGTAAAAGAAATTCTAATTCTTTCATATCAATTTCTTTATTTGTTAATAAGATTTGAAAAACCATTTGAGATGTAAATATAAGTTTATGTTGTTCAAATAAAGATCGTGTTGTATAAAGTGATGTTGAATATGTAATTGAATCAATTAAATTAACTACACGTATTTTAACATCATCACTTTCTTCAGATTTTTGAATTGCTTTTGCAAATACAATTTTAAATGCTAAAATAAAATTTTTTGTATTTCATTATATAATTTAAAATTTTACCTTTCAATGAAAATTGATACATAGGATGAATTTTTCTTAAATCATTCATAATAAAATAAAGTAAACTAGCACGTGCAGCTGCAGGTCGATAAACTTCTCGTGTTTTATCAATTTGTTCACTTGTTTTTTCAGCTTCATTTTTTTTATGTTCAATTTCATTAGCTGTTGATTTTGTTTTTTCTAAATTTTCAACTAATGCAACATCACTAAGAAAATTTCCTTTAGCTGCTGCTAAACGTTGTAATAATGAATCTTCAAGTTTCTTTAAACTTATTTTATATTCATTTTTTTGTCGTGTTAATTCATATTTTGATTTTTCTAAATCAGGTCTTTCAAGTGCAACAACATCAGCTAATAATTGATCTTCAAGACCATCGCGTGTAACAGTAAAATTAATTAATGTTGTTTGTGCTTGCATTTCAGGTTTATAATGTGGATTAGCTAATTTTGTTTGTAAAATTAAACGAAATTCTGGATGATATTCAATTTCTTTATCACCTAATTTAATTGCACGACCTTTTCGAATTGTATTACGACCAATTAATGGATCAAGAATAGCTTCAATATTTTCTTCAATATTTTCAATAAGTAAGGTTTCGCCAGCAGCTATGGCATGTTCAATTTTTTCCATATAACCTTTAGCACCCAAACGAATAACAACTAATTTTTCACCATAACGCGTACGAATCCATTTAACACCTAAATTAATTATTAAATAGAAGGAAAAAAAAATAAATACAACAAAATCAATAAGATTAATTTACCTTGAAGTTGTGGATCAATCATTAATGGCCTAAGAAAAAAACAAATATAGAAAAGAGTTCAATCGAAATAATGTATTAATAACGATAATTGATTGTAGAAAATGTTTTAATTCTCGAAATCAATAAAAAAATACATCTCTAGATGATTTTATTTCTTGAAATGAAATTCTCTTTTTTCTACATTTAATTTCCAGAATTTCTAAAATCATTTACATACCATCGTTCACAATTTGTTAAAATAGTTGCATTTTCATATGACATTCTATCTGCTGGTAAACCTTCATTATTCCATGCAGCCATATCTGCATCATCAATTAACATTGATAAAGGATCAAGATTATCTGTAACTGGTATTGGTACTTTCAAACTTTTCAAAAATGGCATCCAACGTCGATATAAAAGTTCTTCACGATAATATTTTGTAAAATATCCAACATATGAAAGATAAGCTGTTGTTATAAGAACATTTCCAGGTAGAAATTTGCCAAGTATTTGAAATTGTTGTATTGTCTCTGTCCATCGTTCTTTTTCAGATGCAAGACCACCAACAAGACGATTAGCTAAATTAATTGTATATCCTGTTTGATCAGCAGCACGTTGACATTCATCTTTTTCATTTTGTGCTGCTTGATATTGATCTTTAAGAGTTTGTAATGCTGTTTGAAGTCTCTAGAATGTTTTGTTTTTATGAATAGAATAAAAAGAATTTTTATTTTATTTCACTTACAGCTAATTTAGCTTGTGTAGCATTAAATTGTTCTTCAGTTTGTCTTAACTGTTCTGTTGCTTCTTCGGCTGCTAATCGTTTTGGCTCAACTTCACAATAAACGCGATAATATTGAACTATATTTACAGCCCATGCACATAAACCTGCAGCTGCAAATGAAACACGTCGAATAGCATCAGGATTAAAATCTGGATCACGTAAATATTCTTCAACAGCTTTTAATGATGATTCTAAATAGAAAAAAAAACAATAAATATTGAAAGAATGGTTCTGGTATAAGTAATAACATAATTAAATATAGAATTATTTTCAGTTATCAAGAAGCTAAGAATTAACCAATTGAATACAAAAGTCTGTAGAACATGAAATTGAAATGATTCCTGACGAAAACATGCTCAGTGTGTTTTCTATTGATTTCTATGTTCCATGAAAATCATCTTCAATTATTGCTCGAACAACATTAATAGTTTCATTAATGACAGCGACTGAAAGATGATCTGGGGGTATAGAGCTGCTTCATGCCAGTACTAAATTGGCACGATTGTTTTCGTAAGAAATACAAAAATACAACGAAGGACAAAAATTCTAAGTCAGATATTTTCTACATAATCCTAACGATATCTAAAACATGTAGCGATACAAGCCGAAACATTGATCGGCAGCAGTTGAAATTTTTCAATGACTTTTGTTTAAAAATTTTCTTAATTTCGAGAAATTTTGACATAAAAGAGAAAATGATGGTAGAGAACTTATTGACAAGAAAATCTTCGAAAAATGACTTTGAACACAGAAAATTTTCAAAAATCAAATATCTATTTCTACATCGCGTCGACGGATTAGCTGATCGGCGTACACTTCTACCAGCGAGGAAATATTTTCAACTGATCAGTCACTTTTTCAATCAAAGCTTCTAGACTATTGGTTATCGATCATGCTGATTCCGAATATGAGTATGAGAAATCTTCATAGATTTTCATATATTAGTTTTCTAAAAATAAATGGTTTTCCACATGAACAAACTTTCTACCAAAAACTGTTCTTGCTCTGTTCAGAGTATACAATGTATCGGATTGCCTAGAAAACAGTAACTCTTTCTGTTTCAAAGCGTTTCTTTTTTTTTTTGTAGAAAACACAGTTATTGTAATTTATGTAAAATAGATAAGGTGCTCCAAATGCAAAAATGCAGCAGAAAATTTTTTTTGCT